CCTCACCTACGTCCTCGATCCTCTTCACTCCGGATGTGACGGACTGGAACGTGACACCGCATTGCTGCTCAGCCTTCCTTCTGATGCCATCGTCATGTTCGCTAGAAGACCATTCCGACCAAGAGTGCACTTTGCACAGCCAATCCAACCACAGGTAATAGTCAAATGCAGGCGACCGGCCGGAGCCTGAGTTCGACATTTCCTCGAAGAAGCTATCGCGCACTCTGTCCATGTACCAAAGGGTCTGAAGCAGCCTGAATGCAATAGGCTTCGCTTCGTGTGAGGTTGACGGTAGCTTGGCAATGGTGAATTTGAGGAGTTCAAACTTGTAGCTGAATGCATGAAATGCTCTCGCATAGAATGCAGACACGGGCACCCGGTGCACCTCTTCCTTCTGTTTGACCAGCACTGCCTCCGGGATTGTGTGACGGTCCGATACGTAGCTTGCCTTCACACCCAGAGAGAGGATGGAGGACCGCGTAAGTGATATCGCATCGAAAGGGATGGAGTTAGTGTTGAGCGTCATTATGAGGGGACGAGAAAAGCAGGGAGATCTATGATATTGCGTCAGTACGTCCCGCGGCCGGTTTCATCCGACTCTGCGGCCTGAAACGTTTGTATAAATGCTGCCGTGTGACAACAAGATTCAGGCGGAGATCTTTTTTTACCTTCCTTGACATTATTATTATTATTTTACTGCATGACCCAAATCCGTGGGAAATTTCAGCCCTCAGCTTACCGGCCCAATTATGGGTCACAGCAGCAGCTACGCCATATGGAGGGGTCCACCTAATTTCAGTCCATTCGGTCCATTCGGTCATAATCGGTCAAGTAGGTTTATTACTGTTTTTGGATGGTCGCCCTCCGAAGCACCAAAGTCCCTCCGCCACGTGAGCCAGTGACCATGTCACGTGACACCAGCAAAATCGCCGGCCCCTTGCTATTTTTGGGTATCCCGGAGGCTGAACCCCTCCAGAAAGTCCGAGATCTGGGAAAGGCGGCAAGTCGCGGCGGCAGGCTGGGCGGGGCAGATAGGTCATACGGAGGGGTTCTGGGCGGGGTGGCGTCAGTGGCGGTGCTAAAAACAAAAATCCCACGATGTGACTGCCGCGCGTCGCCTCGCCGCCGCGCTTAGATTAGATTAGCGTCTGTTATATCCCTCCACGCCGTATATCTATTCCGCTGTCATGAGTCTCGACATATCATTAATTCCATCTGTTCTTGAAACATATCCACACCTACTTCCTATAACAACGGATCAAATTCAGCTCTTCGTTAATATATGCAGTCTCATTCGCGACGAGATTGCCCTTGCCTACCCCTCGGATGTTGATACCGAAAGTTCAGCCCCGCCGTTTCTTCCAGACACGCGGGCCGAGTGGATCTGCGAGTGTCTAGGCATTACAAGCGACCAGGCCGAGGTCCTATGGTCCGTCCTCTGGCAAATGATCTGGAGGATGGAGGATGCAAATAAGCAGTATGTGACCCTTGCTGATTTGTTTATGGAGAGCGGCTGGCGTGAAGGAATCTGTGAGTACTCTCTTTCCTCTGTAACTCAAGTGTCTAAACTATTCAGCTTTTATTTCACTGTTCCCCCCAATGCGCCGGTGCTCTCAGCCCGAGTGCAAGGACCGGCAGTCCGAAATGCGGAAGGAGTACGTGCGGGACGCGATCCTATTCACGTTTAATCACGGTATCCAATGGGCCAAGTCGGTTTACCTGACATGCATAGACGGAGGGCGAGCCATAGGTATGGACAACGCAGGAGCAGAGGGCGGGAGTGCAGATGACGAGGAAGAAGTGACTTGCGCAGCCAGAGTCGCCTTCTGAAGCTTGCCAGCGCTCTCAGGGTTATGGTCCTTGGCCGTCGAGCACCCCATGTGGTCAGCAGCAATACAATGCTTTTTGCACATCGTCTTGGAGCAGCGTGAGTTCCGCTGGTTCGGCGCCGATTTGGTGCAGCCGCCTTCCCAAATACACTTGAGGGCACCGGCCACGAAGGGTCCAAGGGGAGGATAGGTACGGGAAGGAGGTACTGGCTGACTAGCAGCCGAAGTGGGAGGTGCCGATGGGGTACTTTGAGGAATAGAAAGAGCTGGTAGTGGGATAGTGGTAGCGGGAGAACGTGCGGGAGTAGATGATGCGGGCGAGGATAGAGGAGTCCAAGAGTTGTCTGAGAGGAGCATGATATGTTCTGGGGCCTCAAAGAGAGGATACCAGTGCCAGAACTTCCTGAGCTTGTCGCCCCGTCCCAACGGATGAGCGTGGACATTCTCGCACTGGGTGAATCGTGAGCGATACGAACGCAGAATAAAATTAGAGAAACGTACGACGACGAAGTACCGGTTGATATGATCCATCCTACCGTTAGCGCACCGCCTGGGCTGCAGCGGTAGATGACACCAAGGGCAGTAAGGGACACCGTCGATCTCATAGGGCTCGTCCGACGAGCTAAAGTGGCTGCTACTCGACGTAGATGGGCCGCCTGAGGTAGACGGATGGCCCGATGTAGACGGACAGCTCGAAGTAGATGGGCAGCTCGACGTAGACGGAGAGCCCGAGGTAGTTGGACAGCCCGAGGTAGTAGAATGGCCGCCTGGGCACATGTTTGCTGCGACGAGGGGAATAAAGAAAATAGAGAAAGCGAGGGAGCGAGACGAAGAGGGATTCTGGGGAGATAACGCTTTTTATTGGGGACGATTATCTACTACAGAAGGAATTCTGCAGCCCTAATG